ATTGTACATTTTTGATATTTGATCACATAGTTTTTCAATATTCTAAAATAAATCAATAAAATTGGATTTATCAAGTTGATAAACTGCGGATGATGCTGGGAAGATAAACTGATTCAATTCCTATGACAAAGAAGTATAAAGCTCGATTCAAGCAAACTCGCTTGCTTGTAGCTGCCAATTTATGATGCCATTATTTATACGTTAAATATCTAATTTGCATATCGCATTTTCAACAGTATGGACTGTATAACTATTTGATTAAGTGGAATGAATAATAATAGACATGCATTTTAGGGGGGTTATACACATGTTGCCTAATTTTAGGTACCAATATAAATTTGTTAATTATCCAACATGCATATTATTTATCGCATTTCAAAGGTTTTGACTATATCTAAAGAATTGGTAAATAGTGTTAGTGGGCATACTTATTTTTTGGTATGATAATTATTTAATTTTAATATTATTTATCATATTTGTAACAGCTTTGACTGAAAAATTCACTGAATAATTACTACACCTAATTGCATTTGTTACTGTCGCCGAGTCATTATCACATTGGGTAGTTAGACGTCGGAATCAACGCTAAGTATTTCAGCCAACTCAGGGCCAAGTCGACGCTTGTGAGTGGCTCTAGACGTACAGGACTAATGAACCAAATAAACGCATTCGAATCTAGAAAAGTACTAAATATTTGCAAATTACTGCATGATTTGATTGATTGAGTGTTTCGAATATGTCGACTTTATTCGGTTTGTGTTTGTGATTTTTTTCGAAGTTGGGTTTTCTACAACTGCTTGGAATCCAGATAATCTATAGCCGTGATGTCATCGGACTCAGGAGTGTCTGTCAAACTCACGCTTCGTGTTCGCTCGGGGGAGGGGGCTTCACCGTAAGCTGATCAACTACGATGATCAGGCGGAAAAATAAAACTTTCTGCACGCATTATATCCCCTAAAACATCAAATAAAACAAAAAAATTACTCACCTAATGCATAAACAAGAATTCCTGCTATTATTGCCACAATAACAAAAATGAGTATCACCGCAGTTACTATGGCAGCATTTCTTGTAGTGTGCGTCTTTTTTCGACCAAGGTTTCTACTCGGCTCAATTATGACGTCATTGGCATCAGTACCGTTTAACCCCGTGTTTGTTCCAATGGAAGGGTTCATTTCCACGTATTCATTTGTAGTAGTTGTTGGGTTATGATTCTTTTCTCCGGTAGTGGTGTTTCCGGTCATGTCAACATATCCAGGGTTATCAAAGTGTTCATTCTGCAATTATTACAAGATAATATACCATGAGAATGGATTACATTGTGAAAAAGGTTACGTGATTCACCGAAATGACATCACGTTCGCCTGCATCCAACGATGTGGACTGATTTGGCCAACAAATCTAGCATCGCCTAATTATAGGAATGTTTTGCAATGATGTACGCTACGTACTATTATTCGTTTGACAAAGCCAAAAAGCTTCGCACTTCAGCACACTAATGGGAATACTGGAGATTTAAGAATGTATTTATAAACAAGCAGCTCTAAGTAATTGAAACAATTAATGCTTGCATTTCTAAATAACTGTATCGGTGTTTGTTTAATGAAAATCGTAGAGTCGTCAGTTCACTAGACGCCATCGTGAGTGTCCACAGCAATGTGTACCACTGTAAATGCAGTTAATAAAGTTTGTCTTGGCAGACAATCCATGCGTGCAAAAAGTTAAGTCATGTATTACGAAATTACTAAACTATTCAAGTATGACACTAAACATATACGGTCGCTGATTCGTCTCGATGTTATCGTTATCGCCCACACGAGATTCCAGCTTGACTACTTTTAAATTTGTTTGTGCAAATTCAAAATAATCGCAGTTGCGTTTGGCGGAATATTACTGAGCTGGTTGCCAATCAAACGCAATTCCTATTTTGGTAAACATCGTCATGTGGCGTGCGCAGAGTCGTTTCCTTTCCAAGGCCCTAGGTAAAGATTTTCTTTTGTTTTCAATGGCTACAATGAATTCAAATTCGAAGTCTACATAAACACATTCTACACTAGTCGCCGACAACAACATGTATGTATTTCTTCGGTATATTAGTACACAAATGCAACTTGACACGGCATTTGTCGGGTGGCCATCGCTGCGAATGGCGCCAGTGCAATTTTTCGCCCATCTCGAAATTCTGTTTTGCAACAATATCAATCCCCTTTGACAAAAGCTCTGCTTTGCTGAACACTTGTTCTGAAAATCTTAATGCAAACATCGACCCTAGTTTTCTCAAACCATGCATAGATGTGACGATCTAGTCGAGCACTTCCCCAAAGTCAAGAACACCACGATGTTTCGTCCAAATCCCATTTATGTTTGCAACATGCCACAAAATCATCGACCGCTTTGACCACATCCCCGTAGGGGTTCTAAGTTGACGAGCGTTTATTTTACACATTCTAATGCAAATACCAAAATTAGTAACTCAGTGTATCGTGTGAGTTCGAAGCACGGACTAAAACAATTACAAAGTTGAATTTAACCGCTATATTCCAAATATGCTATATTAAATTACTTCAGTTCTATGCCACGAGTGACGTGAGCGGTCAAATGCGATTGGTTACAGGGTCGGTGCAAAGGTCATATGAATATTAAAACTAAATGGGTGGAAATACAAATCCTAGATGATTCAAGCTGGAGTGTGGGTGACGGTAATAATACCGCGACGAATGGTCTGAGGTAATTCATAGGCCGAATTCTTGGAATCTATGCAACCAGCAGTAAGATATACTAAATACATAAATAGATACACCGATAAAATATGTTGGTGTAGCTTTTTTAAAAATTCGCTGTCATATAGTAAAACAACACGCACAGTGTAATCATGTAATGCTTATAATAAAAAATGCTTCTTACCATCGTTTCAGGATTTTCGGACATCGAGAGAAATCTGTGTGACTGCCTAAAAATGAAAATAAGAAACCTTGATCAGATCAATATGCACACGTACATAGAGAGTTGTTATCCTCACTGTAGTTTTAACGCCTAGCTGTACGTGTTACTGACCTGTCACAGAGTAAAGTAGACTATTTGTGGGTTGTGTTACATTTCAACTCGTTATATGTGACGTTGTCCCTTTTTTTTAAAGAGTGGATATTGTCTGCCATAGAGGGCGCTTTGTGAGAGGTACGGTGTGTTTTATTTAGCAGAGTTTTAGGTTATGTCGATCTCAGTTGCATATCCATTGGAAAACAAATTCGACAGTTTTCAAATTAAAATGAATAAATTTTAAACATAAACCGCGGTGTGGAAAACATTTTGGGCGTTGACGGGTTATAAGTTATCAATGAATACAAACATTTCGTCAAAAACACTGGCCTTATTGTACTCGCGAAAATGGCCTTCGCCCAAACTCAAAATAGCGTAAGTTCATCGCCTGGAGTGGTACATACTTTTGCAATCGAAAAATGTAATCAGCTGCCCTAGTTTTATGTCCATGAAACGGCATGTATACATAGACAGTATCTGCATCGTAGGGTGCCCAGACTCGCTCAATTTACGCAACCTAGCATGTATTGATGATGTGCTGTAATACGGACACTTGAATAACTAATCGGACACCAATTTTGCTCGATAACTACTATGACCAAGACTCAACATACAAAACTAGTACAACACATATACGAGTCACTCTATGACGATCACTGTGCTAATTAATTTCAGGCATATGGGGATGCCTATCTGAGTGAATGTGAACACATACAAGCAGGTTGGTAGCAACGAAATAACATCCGCATATCTCGATGTGATATTCTATATCACGGACATTTCTATACATCTGTTTACATGTCCGGAATCGCCATGTCTTGCTGTTACAACTCGTTGAACGTCAGTGAATATCAGTTACTTTAATTTAATTGTTATAGTGAACATTTCTTAGAAATTTGGCCAAACTACGCCCTACGCCCGATTTAAAGTACTAGTATGGTGAGTATTGTAGGTTTACACAAACTTAAAAATCTTAAAGTATGACTCTTAAGATTTCCATCATTAAAAATGGCTGCCAGCGTGATGTATATCACTATAGTAACAAACTCGCTTACATGGGTTTTTTTACCTGTTTGAATAAGGGCCTAATTTAACTTATCACTTAGTTTAACTTTAATTATCCTAACTTATCAATGTAGTTCCAAGTACAAATTCACATTTTTTTATCTGTTTTCGACGTTGACGAATCAGCCCAAACAGCACGTTGCGATTCTGGTCTAAAACTTTCGTATGATGACAATTCTACGCTAAATACATTTGAAAGAAGAACATGTTACTCACCGTTTTGCGATGTTAATAAAACCCGTGTCGTAAACACAATATAATAGGTATGCTAAGCGTGTGAAGTTGAGATTGCAATGAGAACGCTACATGTATAACAGTTCGATCAGACAGCTAAACTCGTTCAGCATTACTGAACGACAACTGATTTTAACACGCTGACTTGAGCTACACGAGATAGCTCACGCGTACCCGTGTGCGTGGAGTGAATATTTTAAATGAATAAAAACTAATATTTGGTAACTTGATCAGCGGGGTATTTACAAAATAGCACATAGTAACGGATGCTCGCCTCCATGCCCAGTTTGGCAGAAATCTACAGCATGCGTTATACTCTTCAACGTGGGGGACCTTTGGCTTTACGTTCAATGACCCCCAAGACCTATTGATATCTGAGAACACGTAGGAAAGAACATTACTTGTACCGAAGAAAGTTATGATGTTCTGTCAGTGTGATTTGTTTTCCTTTTACGGGATTGTATGCCAGTTTTCTCAGAGAGTTCCAACATCTTCCGTTAGACTTCATGAGACTACATATATTCTCCCTGTACTTTGTTAGCAGCTTACGTACGTTTGAGCTTACATTTCATCTCATAGTTAATCATTTTACAAGACCTTGGTGTGAGAGATAGTACGTCATGGGGTCTAACACATAATCTGCATATTACTTCGGTTGCACAACAACATTCGTCAAGAGGTGGCAGTAATTCAATAGGCGTTTATGCCCTCCATTCGATGACTACGCGGAATTCATTTTCAAGGATGACGTTTTCTATACTCTATTTGTATATGCTTTGCTCATGGCAACACTTTGTACTTGTTACGCAATACTTTATACATATATATATATATCCTAAAAGCTGTTAAACATCATACCAATTTAGAACCCGATACGATTTGAACCGGCCTGGCCACGTGGTTCATGTTTAAACACAGCTGCGTCAAATTTATGAAAAATTGTTTACAAACCTGAGCTATCAATATGTGTTCACTTATACCCTAAGTCGTCTGTATTTTCAATCAGGCGTGTTCTGAAGACACATTTTAACAGTAGGAGCGAATCGTTATAGTTCACATTAACATTGAAACGATCGCGATAACCTTTCGTTTATGGGTGGGGCTGACATCAGAGATTTCGTCTTGAAAAGATGGGTATTATAATTGTATTGCGAATCACTACATTTAACTGTAAAGTGTACTTTACTGATATTTTATTGTTATCATCATCTATTGACATGAATGATTGTGATGTTTCTAGACTAACTACTAATACTGACCTCAGTCTATCAGTACTAGTAACTATTAACTGTACACACGTCATATGTCCTGATATGTCTACCAAGGTCGTGACGGATCACGTGAATTACACTTATCACGCAATAGTCTTGCAAATACAGATCCTTTCTTCTGAGAAAAATGTTTTCCAGTTACTCATCCCCGCTGGTGGTTTATCGAAAAACTCTCCCTATAGGATTCTGAAAATGCATTAAATAGTAGAGTGTATGTGTATATCTTATCTTCTACTCGTATTTTTTTTTCATTAGTGGCACGGAAGTGCAAGTCCAAACTCGTGAAGTGAGGAGAGTTCCTGTTTGCACTAAGGAAGTTCTATTTGAGGCAAGGGAGTTTCATCATTTCAGGGTGAATTCCAATGGACTTAATTTTAGGGGGTCTTGTTTAGGAGATGCTTATCTTGGAAGGAGTGAAAGGTCATGTTTAATCAAATCAAATAAACTCGTGGAAGGAAGGAGTTCATGTCTATGGTGACAGCGAAGGGGTAAATGTCTATGGCACGGATTGCTGTTATGAGAAGGGAGTTCAGCTCTAACCATCGTGGCAGAAGAGTAGTACAAATCTAAGCTATGGTATCTCGTTGGCAGGAAAAAAGTAAAGTTGTTGCCTATTGCTATTGTGAGAAGACAGAATACAAGTCTAATCCAAGGTTGTGTGACGGGGAAGTTGTAATTGAAAACAGAAGTTAAGTCAGCTTTCTTTGATGGGATGGAGTTTTCTGAAGTACATTCTTATCTCAGGGTTTTGTTGGTGATGGAATTGAAGTGTGAATGAGGGTGTTGTTTTGGGGAGGGGTGGCATTCGTTATATTTTAAGGGTTTCAATGGTAGGAGGAGTGAAACTCAAAAACGGGATTCACAAGTGAGATGGTGGAGAGATTAAGTCTAATCCATCATGATTTTATTATTACGACCTCCCGTGTTTCAGAGAGGAATTCACTTAAATATGAAACATAGTGACATAATTAAAACACATGTTGTAAATTACGATAGGGTTACTTGTGATAAATAGGTCAGGAAATTATGAACGTTGGCTTAGTGTCAATACTTTCACCACATGCTGCAAATCCCATCTCCCTCCCCTCCCTTCCTCCTTCCCTCCCTCTCTCTCCAACTGCTGTCACATCAGGATGCTGACAGGACTGACCAGGGTGTATCATGAACAAGTTTACCACAACTATTAACATCCTGCCTTTCATACCAGGATTACTCGGCCATTAATCGTAATGTTCAGCCACTAATCTGTTTGACGTGCGCGAAACAAACACGTATTGAATATCACAAGTGTGTACGTCTTAACACCAAAACAGGATGCATACTCACGCTCATATATTATATGCGGTCCAATAATTCTCCGCTAGTTAAATGACGTCGCAGGTGTTGTTGCTTACATTGCGACGAACTGGAAGCCGTATATCCCGTATCATGTTTTCACTCGCTCCCGGTTATGGGCTCTGTTAGCAGAGGTGTTGAACCTCTGTACAAAGATGCAGTTTACACCTACAGTAACTTTCAAAAAGTTTTTCTGGCGCCTGTTACACTGCTCATTTCTAGAGATACACTAGGTGAACATCAGAAGTTTATAATTGAATAAACTTTGCATTGAAAGATTTATGATGCTCTGTGTGGATGCCTTGCATTTATTTTGATTTCTGAACATAAGAGACGAACTTTAATTGTAAAGAAGCATCAATTTTCCCATTTGAAAAACAGAGTGCAGTAATACTTTTCAATCGTTACGTTGGAAACTTGTGAAAAACAGCCACTATAATTAAATGTTGTCGTTAACTTCTATTCCTGGTGTTAACTCCATAATCTCCACATCTATCGCTCTGTACGCTTAAGAAACAATGAGTACCGTTATTTTATGAATAATGTAAAATACCATTGCAATGAACAACGGGTCACCAACAAAGTTGTGAAAATTGGGTTGCAACTCGCACGCATTTCTATAAAAAAAATCAATCAGATAAGATATGCCACTACCCGCCATCATGAAATATTTCGGGTAACTTCGAGACATTATCCAACAGATTACAAATAATGTGTGTGTCTGTCTAATTTGACAACGGACGCCAGATGTAGCGAACGTTTAATGTTGCCCTGACGACGCTGTACCGTAATAACAGTTTGCCATTCAAGCGAACCGTCATAGTAAACATTTTTACATTCAATTACTTGCCAGTGGTCGGAGGTCAAAAAGTCAATAATGTACAATTATCAGAAAGTCTCTGTGTTTATTGTCTTATAATAACGCACATCTAATTGTGTTTATCGTGTTTACAAGCTATACGCGATTACTCGGAAAGAAACGTGGCATCCTGGACATGGAAATCAGTAAATTGCATACGCTACGAGCAGACGATAACCAAACATCATTTTACTTTTGCAATTTAAACAACGAAACGTGACGTCACCAGACATATCACGTTTGTAATTACCTTGTATTTGTAGTTTTATGTTAAAGTCTTCAAGGCTTCGAGATGCCCAACCCAAAGTGCAAAGTGGGTCGTCTAGACATAAATAATGTTGCTTACATTGCGCCCTCCGCGGCGAAACGCCTTTTTCAGTCAGTTGATGAACGAATAGACATTTCTATTACGTTTGATTTTCAATAAAATTCACAGGTTTGATGCAAATGATTTGGAACAACAATGGAAGATATACCCATCACTTCCTCATGGCAGAAAAAAAATGCGTGTTCGACAGACATTTTGGGGGGGGGGAGGTCAAGTTAACAGAATCTTCCTTCAACACTAAACATCGCCAACCAGATCTACTGAATGCATTGGGAACCCGGATGTAATCTACACACACCAATCCCCCAAAAGAATACATCGGTTTCAAGCACATGCACAGTCTTACTCGCCATTGAAAAAGAAAAATATTAAATTGTAATGTTTTAGTAAATATAAAATTAATAAATTGGTGAATATTTTCAAACCAAAATTCATATAATACTGTAGAAAACTTTATTTTCGCTATTTTCGCTGAAAGGAGGATTCCGTGAAAATAAAATCCAGCGAATATACTTTTTTTCCTATATTTCACATTACACTCATCAAAAATCAGTGAAAATAAATTCCATACAAATCGCCCAAAAAGCCTTTTCAGCAAAAATTAATTCCAGCGAAAATAAAGTATTCCACAGTATACGGAATCACAACTACAAATCAATAATGAACAGGTGTCGTTTATACTGTATTTTCGTGTGAGACAAACAAATATTACAAGAAACATTTATCGAATGCAGTTCGCAGAAACATATCCGGAAAAGATTATATTTTGTGAATTCGCACGCTGTGACTGTGAGTCACGGTATCCGTTCATCTCGGGGATATCGTCAAATGTGACAAATACGATTCAGTTGACTACTCATTATGTTACTTGTCATGCTGAGTATAGCGTATTCGTGTTTTGCCAGGCACAAGCGAAAACTGTACGGTGAGGCAACTTCCTAGACTGCTAGTCACGACTCCATCTTTTATCATGTTGCTCAAAAAGTTGAGTCCAGGACAATGCACTCTGATTGAAATGCGTGCGTATTGTTATAGGCATTCTAAGTGTGTAATACTTCAATAGTTTATTTTTACTCAGACCTAACTCGGAGTTCGGCTCGCTTTCATTCGCATTGTAAACATATATTGCCTTCATTTACTTCTACCATGTGACTTGAGCTCTCCGAAGTATTTAAATGTGGGTAATTGGTATTTATCACCGAGTTCGTTTGTATTACTAGGTACGACTGACAAGCCGAAACTATCTGGGATACTAGAGACCACTGGTTCAATAAGTTCCAACCGAACATCACTAGTTTCATTTATAGTGCACCCGTTTTGGATATCTAAGTTACTGGTACAAGATTGACAGTTAATTTGGCGGTGATGCGCAAGTCTGTTGCGCACGTCAGTATCACGTGGTCTCGCATTCTTTTTGAATCTGCAGCGTCTATTCTGAAACCAAACCTGGAAAGTAAAAGAACTTGCTTCAATAAATGGGCATACATTATATATGTGCATTATGATTTGTGTAGATTTTTGTTATTCTCTTTTGATTTGATTTGATTTGATAGTGATCGCTGATGACTTTGTTACCAGCATTATATACCGTCAAAGTCCCAGTTTTGAAAAGGTTGCCAAGGTTATTTTGCTATATTACGCGAAAATGCAAAATAACTATAAGTGACGACATCAACCCACCTTGATCTTGTCGTTGGCCAGGCTTGTTGCCTTGGAAATCTCTGATCTATCATGAACATCGGGATATTTTGAGACGTTATGAAAATGCCTCTCTAGAACATTCAGCTGGTATGCACTGAATACAGTTCTTTGTTTTCTTTTACGGAGCTGTACGGGTTGGTGTAGACCAATCGTGGTCACTTGATTTATCGGGGAGCAGGCCGGGGTGAATGTGGAGTATGATCTGTGTTTCGGTTCCATTCCTTCAGTGACACTCTTGGTTATAGTGTACCGGTGCAGTTGATACATTGTTTCTATCATGTGACTGCAGTCAGGTTCCGACTTGACTGTTCGGGTATCGTTGTATACATCTTCTTGATTCGCTGTCTGAGTCATTTCGGCGAAAGGGGGGCGCTCACACGATATTATGTCTGTAAGCAAAATACAGAGCGACGCTGATAACAGATATTATGTTCGAATATTGATTGTTAGTTAATTGGAGTATTAAATTAAACACTAGTACGCCAATTTGTTTCTTCGTACAACCATATTATTAAAGCGGGGGAGTCGTCACCTGCACATGCGTCAGATGGCCATAGCGTGTCATTGTTTACAAACAAGCGTCTACCCATGAGCCTTTGCATTTTTAGCGTGCGTTGTTATCGTCGCTTGGAACTCAATTCCCGCGCGTGCGCAGGTGACGACCCTCCCGCTTTAATATTGCGATCATTATTATACTACTATTTATCGTTATTAACTATCATCTATTACCTGTGGCCAACGTTGAATTTCTCGTATTGGTCTATGGTACATAAGGCCAGTGACTGTAAAAACTGCCTTTTAACCATTTCACAAGTTGTAGTCAAATATATTGTTATTGTTTAAATCAAATCCCATCATTTCAAATATGACGAAATAGTATAAGAAAAAAGATCACAACACAACACAACACGCAAACACGATACTTTATAAATAAAATATAGATGAAATTTTCGAACAATATGCAAATTAAAAATATGCAAATAATAAAATTGCCTAACTATTATGATACAGAAGAGCATTACATACGTTTGTATCGAAGATGATGCATTTGCTGAGATAAGTCGTTTTTTTTAAATAATTTTAAAAATTACTTAATTCAAAATTCAATTCAATTAATTCAATATTACGTCATCGTCATATCGAGTTGTAAAACACTAAAGCACCAGCGATAAAATATCACATCTGGGCTAATCTTCATTATCAGATAATAATTTAGGGTCTTCTTAAAACGATATGTTATCAGTGCTTTCGCCCGGGAAAACAATTTTAAGAATTTGTTTATTATTTAAAATATAATTATGTTAATATCTGTCAGTAACCTAGGTCTACTAACCTTCATTGTGTTGCAAGTTAGCAAGAAATCCACAGTTATTCTTCCAGTACCCATCGTATCCATACTGGTAGCTTAATGACGATGATGGCTGGACGTGATTACGTAACGGTTCTTGTAACGTGTTTGTGTTGTTGTCCATTGCTCGTTTGGGACATGCGTTCGTCCATACACGGGTCGCAGTATTTACCGGTATACGATTGTTCGCGGTGGAAAGGTTCGCGTTCATTTCTTCTGAGTGCGTAAACACCTCTCCTAGCCTTTCCATGGAGTTGTTTTTCCGACAGTCTGGTGTGTAATAATTTTGTACAAAGTGGAAACGTCCCTGGCAGTCTTTGTTGATTTCATTCATTCTAAAAGTACAATCCTTCCGAGTCGATACGTATATCTTAGTGAAATTAAATGCTATTTAATTTGTCATTAGCGCGTTGACTGGGTGATCAATTCAAAATTAGTGACTCAAATGATTACATAAGTGTTGCCAAACATCTAGGCCACTGATAGGTTGAGCTTGGCAGATGGTCATATTGGCCAGCCAATCAAATCCTTACACCATATAAATATTGAATACCGCAGATGGACGAAGAATGTACATGTAATTATCCAAAGGAGGAGATAATGACTTTAGTCACGTTATATTGTCCGCGCTCTTTTGGCGCTTGGTGGTTTCCACACAAAACAAAAACCAGCTTGCAAATCACCTACGCGCCCACTTCCATTACAGAGGGTCAATCAATCTACTGTAAAAATCAATCGAGCAGTGCCCTTGTTCAAACTCAAACACTGTTTGGTTATTTGCCTTATAACGAATATGCAAATCAAGTACCAGCAATGTCGTTTTTTATTGCCCGAGTATGTTTTGAATGTAGCATAAAATGCTATGGCGGGCGTGAATTTCACGTTCCGAATGTCACGTTCCTGAAACTATCTGTTCATTGTACACTCTTACTTTGAAAACTTTGAACAATCCAAGTTTTGCAGTAGTGCGCCCCCAGGCCTCTCATAATACGCTTTGGGTATCGTCCAGTGGAGGGCGCGTTAATACTGTATCCCTTCGCTCTCGGCAGAATAATAATAGTCAAACAACATCGGTCCGCCAACATTCATTTCACAAAGTATCAAGTTCGGGAATTGTATGATTGGGTAGTAGGTGACGTTTTTGATGTTGTAACTAAGTTGCTGTGTAGCAAATCCATTGGATCGGATGGAATTGCTGTTAAACATCTACAATATGCAAGTGCATGTATTATTATAGATGTGTTGCTCTGGATGTGTAGAAACTCTTATTTTTACTTTCTTCGCTCGCTTCTCAAAAGCTTAACACGTGCATGGCCAAACTGTAAAACCCGTAGAATTGAAACAAACATGCCAGAATACATTTAATTGTATGATTAAATATTATTATTTTTAATATAACCGAGACTGAAAATTGTATACAAAATATTCGTCTATAGCTAATTTAAATTCATTTGCTTTGTGCGTGTTTTTTTATTCCTGGCCCGATTTTGTGGTTGATGTGCTAAAAGATATTGACAAAATGAATACCGACTCAATGATGAGAAATTCCTCATTACAAAACTCTCCATGCCATAGATAATACTAGTAAAACACAACATGGCGTTCTTGCCTAAATGCTTTTCTACACAGAAATTAAAAAAGATATTATGACAAATGAAATAACTGTGACCAAAGAGAAGATTTTGAGCACATGTTGTGGGAATATGAGAAGAACCAGAAATGCTGGCCTAGCTTTAAACAATTATGGACAAATATCTCTTCTGAAAACATCAACATGATGTTTAATATTGGAAATAGAGTTAAAGCGGAGGGGTCGCCACATGCGCATGCGCTGGAATTGAGTCCCTGTTTCTGTCCTTGTTTTGTATGTTTATGGATACACATATAATCAAATTCGGTTAATTTACAGCATAACCATTCATCAATATACCATGTGAATGTGCTGAATATGGTATGTGAAATGGAAGTACATATATTTAATAAATGAGCATCTCTTTATCATGTGAAGTTTGTTTATATTTATTTACTACATAGATGATATACATTAAAATGCCATATATTAAGTGAATGTACATTTACTTAATAACAAAAGCATCCCTATCCCACAAACAAATAAATGAAAGGAATTTTAATGAAGGATTTCTTTTTGAAATGTAACCAAGAAATGGATTTTTTTTTATTTATGGTGAATTGCTCGAAAAGGCAATTCAAGTAATTTAAACACATGCTTGTGTAGAAACAATGTGAATATGAATATGTTATTACTTATTGTTATACAAATAACACATATGCGATGATTTGCAACACCCATACCAAAGACGGCGACACGAAATTTTGCATGAGGGGGGGGGGTTGCTCGCGCCGAAATTTGTTTAAATCTAGACCCTCTGAAACGCTATTTCCTGCATTTTGAGGAGAAAGACGAGCATTCCTTTTCAACTATGTCGCATCGACACAAATACACAAATACACAAAGGGTTTATGCTTGATTGGCGAAATATGAAACAATAAAAAATTAATTAATTTAAGCAAAAAGAAAATAATTATAATAATATTTCTGTACATTCAAAGCCAATATGTGTGTTTTATGGTGTGCGACATAATCATACTACCGTGTTGCCAACTTTTCACTTCCGCGTTTATCAAAAAAACTTTCATTATATAATAGCATTGAATTTTATGACGTCATTAGTGAAGATTATTCGCAAAAACGTATCATAGTTATGAGTTAAATGATGTTTTTAGAAACGGGGGCTTATAGTTTCATCTCTGTGCGGTCGTGTATTTCAGTCATGTCTGGACCAATTCATTCGGACTTTACACACACATCATTCCATACATAAGCACATGCATTTGTTCCGTAATCCAAAGATAGCCGAATAGCGGCCATTTCCGTGCTAACTATTCATCAAAATCAAGCTTTTCTACCATCCCGGAACTGGATCTCGGTCATGCATAGACATATTCCATTCAAACTTGGTATGCATTTCATTTTTCCAGATTTGATTTAAGATGGCTGACTGGTGGTCATTTTGTTTTTTTCCGAATGCTGTTTTGGAACCATATTGCTAAAATCGCTGGACTGACCATGTTCAACCTTTACACATACATCATGCGTTTGATGGCAGAATAAAGGGAGGAATCGCACTAGTGTACGTTACTTTTGTTTTGTTTGTCTGGAAAGAGTGATTTTATAATACAAAATAACAAAAACGAAGAGAAAATATAACGGAAAACGATTTTCATGTCCGTTAACATATTCGTTTCAGCAATTTCTAATAGAAATGTTCATATATAGCATACAATGATCGTGAAATTTCGTGCCACTGTTTCATGACACGCTACTTAATCTAGCAAGGGAGTCCACTCTTTAATGAACACGTAGAACGTGAAAGTATTGACCTCGCTCATTCAGAAATTCGACGCTTTATTATAATGTTTGTCTACATTATGCAACATACATTTCAAAAGTTAAGATCAATAATGTTCTTTCAGTTTTAGACCAACTCGACCATGCTAACAAATTAACATGAGGCATAGATTGAAAACATGCTTTTATTTTTAATAAATGAGTTAAAGGCAATGGCCAATGATTTTGCCGTCCTTTCATAGACACATAATGAATATGCATTGAATCGTATATAAAGGGCGGTGCATAACAAAATACCTTTGGGTTCCAACGAACTCTCAAATCTACTAGTTTCATGTTCAGGATCGGATTCTTGATATTCGTCTAAATCTTCAAACAATTTCATTGTTCTAATCTGTTCGATTCGGGAACATGCCTGAAAAATGGATGTAGTACTTTCGCCCAATTTTGTATTCCTTGTAATTATCAAAGTAATATAAATAATAATTATTTTGAGTAGAATAAATGTAGCTGATAAGCACTCATGGCATAGAGTCAGTTAAAATCTACTATATTGAGGTGAATTATTCATAATTAAAGATTTCAAAATCAATCGATAGTTGAGTATAGAACACGCCAATTCTTTAACGTTCGTTCGAAATTGATCAAAATCGATGATCTTGAAAGCAATATTACGTTGCTGAAATGTACGCTGTCTTAAACAATGTATATTTCAGATGAATTAGGTGCATCGTTTAAAGACATATAGCGGTTTTATGCCTGCTTACTAGATTGTGCGATTACTGCCCTTTTACAAACACGGCATATAAATCAGCAAGTACGTATACTAGAACAACATTTTAGTAACTTGCAAATTATCACACACATGAGATTGTTTCTCAACTCAAACAAAACTAGCGTCATTAAGGTTTTAGAATAAAATGTCAGCATTAGATTGCCGTCGTCAAATGGTAGTTCCTGCTTCATAAATCTAAATACATGCGGTACGCATTTGCCTTTTGTAAACATTATTTGTAACTCACACTTTACCCAAAATAGTACGCACCTAATCGGATCAATTTCACCAACATTAGTTATTAGTCTATTTATCGTATGCATATCATCGCAATTCGGATATTTTTACTTAGTCATATTTATAGAGCCTAACGTAATTCACCAGCAGACCGTGTATGATAAGATACATTACACGTAACCTTGGGACAGCGAAATTGTTGTTAATGAAAACAATATTTTGCAATATCATAGCAAATTAATTATATAAATTAAAAGTTCGTAATTATATCAAAATGGCATGTTTAGCTTTCCCTTCTATTTGAAATGCCTTTGTAGAATAAACTTATTTCAGCACTGGGACTACAATGTACATGTCATTTTATAGATATTACACAACATATGCATTACCTAATAGAAAATGATATATATATATATATATATATATGGAAATGCCCTTCCCCAATTCAAGACAACTGCCTGAGACAGCATTTTGTACCTCTTTATTGTACGTGTTTGGATGATTGCAATAATATCAATATTTCTTATGCCAGAATTTGGCAAGAAAAAGTACTTGTAATTTTATTTGTACTATATATTGAAAATACCAATTACCAGTATACATTCTGTGCACTTATTTCTATAACAAATGTTTTATTTTAGCCAAATTTTAAACAATACTTGAAAAAGGACGACGACAGACGTTTTCTCCTTTGTATACCTTTCTTTTCATCTGTGACACCGGGAAGGTAAAACTGATAGTAGATCCAACTAATAAAAGCGTAACAATCTTGCGCTCGTACTCACTCTGGCTGTTCCAACCCTTGACTGTTTGTCTTTCGGTCTGTTTGTTTATCTATCTGTCTGTATGTCTGTATGTCTGTCTGTCTGATTGTCTGTCTGTCTGTCCAAGAACAGTAAAACAACTTCTTCTGCGAATGTAACAGAAGCATATTTACAAATCAAATTTAACCGTAATATTGTAAAGAACCAAAATACGGATTATTAATATTTGTTCAGTAACTGGTACAGTGAGTCTTCATATCTGAATCAGCTGGGGTAATTCGAGATATTGACTGACAGTTAAATTGAGCTGTGCACTAGTCTTAGTCAATCAGATTCCAGGGGTAAGCGGTAGACTAATCCTTTTTGAAGCTCCCGTTTACAACGCCCTTTTGAGTTGAAATCAAGTGGTTGTCAGTAACCGATCCAAGCTCCATTTCATCCATATCACACTGAATTTCCACTTCTGTCGTCTGCGGAGGTTGGTCTTTCTTATAATGTTTGCTATTGGGTATAAACACATGCACATTACGTGAAGGCCCAGGTATAAACACATGCACATTACGTGAAGGCCCAGGTATAAACACGTGCACATTACGTGAAGGCCCAGGTATAAACACATGCACATTGTGTGAAGGCCCAGGTATATACACGTGCACAATACGTGAAGGCCCAGGTATAAACACATGCACATTACGTGAAGGCCCAGGTATAAACACATGCACATTACGTGAAGGCCCAGGTATAAACACGTGCACATTACGTGAAGGCCCGGGTATAAACACGTGCACATTACGTGAAGACCCAGGTATAAACACATGCGCATTACGTGAAGGCCCAGGTATAAACACATGCACATTACGTGAAGGCCCAGGTATAAACACATGCACATTACGTGAAGGCCCAGGTATAAACACATGCACATTACGTGAAGGCCCAGGTATAAACACATGCACATTACGTGAAGGCCCAGGTATAAACACATGCACATTACGTGGATGCCCGGGTATAAACACAGCTCATTACGTAAAGGCCCAGGTATAAACACATGCACATTACGTGAAGGCCCAGGTATAAACTCATGCACATTACGTGAAGGCCCAGGTATAAACACATGCACATTACGTGAAGGCCCAGGTATAAACACATGCACATTACGTGAAGGCCTAGGTATAAACACATGCGCATTACGTGAAGGCCCAGGTATAAACACATGCAAATTACGTGAAGGTCTAGGTATAAACACGTGCACATTACGTGAAGGCCTAGGTATAAACACATGCACATTACGTGGATGCCCAGGTATAAACACGTGCACATTACGTGAAGGCCCAGGTATAAACACATGCACATTACGTGGATGCCCAGGTATAAACACATGTACATTACGTGAAGGCCCAGGTATAAACACGTGCACATTACGTGAAGGCCCAGGTATAATTACGTGCAAATGTTTATATGTACTTCTAATGTAGTCTGGGAAGAGTAGGTGAAGGCGATATCACAGATTCTAGTGAAGGGCATGGCATAGCATAATGTATAATTCAAGACCGATATATTTTTTTTATTTCAACATAAACTGTTATCAACCACTATTTATATCGATTACGCTTCTCGAATAAACAAAGATGCAAACTTACGTTCCGAATAGCTCACCCTCTTCCAATGTATCGGGAAGATCTTTGCCGTTTGTTTCCGGAAGCAACAACGTCAGAAGACCGGCAAGTATGGCCACAATAGCCATAATAAGATACGGCAAAGGGTACCATACGTCGATTAGTAACATTACGTATGGTGAACTGATACTACCAACACGTGCCCATGTAGATGCAAGACCCATGCCAGCATTCCTGATAAAATAAAGACGATATCAATTTGAATACCAAACATTCTGTAGATTTTTTTTTTATTTTTCTGTAACACCTTTGTTAAGTTTAAAGCAAGTTGACATAGCTCCGAGCTGGATACAGTTTTAAATAAAAATTACAAAAAAAATATTTTGAAAATATTATGCAGGTTGGTTTTCGAATTGGTTAAACGGCAGTATTAATCATTCGTCGAAAGTTTGGTCTCGTATAAACTTTGAACTTTGACACCCCTGTGCCTTTTGTTATCTAATTAGTTGTTATATGTTTGACAATGTATTGATTGCCACATATCACAGGATAGTGGCAATGATTGCTAAAAAACTACGGGCGGTAACCGTGATTACCACTGATTACAAGACAGCGATCGTTAGTATCTCATGGCAACTATCAATTGTAACACGGTTCTCAGGGCAGCGACCAAGATTACAGGACAGTGTCCATAATTGCCACAGATTACGGAAGACCCCTGGACAGTGACCATGTTGTTTATCACATATTTCAGTGCAACTACGGTGATGGTTGCTGCAGATTACAAGGCAGTGACCGTGATTACCACGGATTCAATGAAAAAGCACGCAATTTCAGCACTCGGGGATAGAGACGATTATATTCCAATTTTGTCATAAAAGACAACATGAGCAATGAAATGACAGTGAATTTGACTTTAATCATTCTGATTGGCATTCTGGTGACAAATTGTGTTAACTTGTTTTTCTGGATAGGTTTAATATGGAAACTGTTTGTTTAATCTGATGAGATAGCATAATGAGTTGCGATGTTTGTTTTTTATGGTAGTTAATTTGATGATAACATGTTTTGATGTGTGGCAGATAATTTAAACACATTTGGCAGAAAACCACCATTAATATGTATAAGTAATATACTTTATAATTTAATTTTAAAGACATAAATTGAATTGAAGATGAGAAACGTTTCATCTTAGAATATGTAAATTATATTAACATGTATCAGTAAATATGCAATTTTAGTTAGCAACCATATAGTTACCCATATTGTTTTTTTTTCAATAGTGCGCTTTACGTATTATTATAACACATAGCCCTATCAGCCAATCAGATTCGCGCACTGATTTGGCCGCGGTCAATACCTTTGTGTATTGACTTCTCAGAGGTCAAAGACGTAATATTCAGCTTCTGCGCTTGCGCAGACGTTATTGATCTAAATATTCTGATTCATCGATGAGGCTTGTTGGCGTTTTCACGGAAAATTACCTTTAATTTGTGGATTGTAATATTTTATGATCAACAAGGTATCTTGCATTACTTCGGACGAGTTATGTTAATACTTGTAACTGGGAGATAATCACCGATTACACGACAACACGACAACCCCCAGCTTCGGTCGATATACAAATTTGTCGGCCCGAAGAGAGCAATATTGACCGATGCTTCGAGAAATCCATATATCGACCTTGGCCCGGTTCAATATTTCAATAATGTCTTACCTGACCGACGTTGGATATATTTCAGCCGAAAATATATATACAAGAGCGAAGGATCCGGCGATGAAAAATTTACCGACCATGGCTAAAGCGGCTGAAATATTCACGTTCTCTGCAATGAAAAATCACAGATACATTAGTAACATATAAACATGCAACACGACGGAGGTTCGACCTCACAATTGACCCTCCCATACTCGTTATGGGAATTTCCGTCAAGTAACATTTGATATGGTCTCAGTATACAGAATACAATGATACTGAAAAAACAATTTTTGGTTCTATATATAGAACTAATTATATGATATAATCGTTCCTGGATACCACAAATCTATAGTGCATAGCCAACTTAATTTGATTATTAGGTTTTGTAAAATGTATCCAGTAATGAGTCATGCAGTTATTTAAATTAACTTACCGGGTGGTACTGATATAATTAAAGCAATTCCACCGAGTACGTTAAATGAACACAACAACCAACGACGACCAACCTTATCCAACAAAAACCAACATAGAAGATAAGCTGGGATTTCCACTGCACCGGAAACCAGAAATGCTGTATATGGATTAGTACCGAGTGCAGCTGTATTCAACGAAAGCCCGTAATACACGAAACTGATGGCGAACCTGTGTAGAAATGAACCATGGTATTATATCATGTATTCCAAAAATATACATATAGTAAATATATTTGCAATATTTTCTGCTTAAATGTCCACCGCATATGTACATGATAAGCACTGCTGACCCTATTGACCTCATGCGTGATTACAGAAGATGACGTCAACAGACAATTTGTATGGCGGATGTGTTCGAACATTTTAAAAGGGCAGTAGTCTTCCGCCAACGATGTGCGAGATATATGGGTCTCATATAAACAAAGATGGCAACTTTGACTGTC